CTTTATTCTTCCTTTCCTCTTCAGCCAGTCTGCTAGCTCTGGTGATGTAGTCATCCTTTAGCTCAAGCTGATACCTGGGAATCAGAATGAGCTTGTCACTTTCCTGGACAGATTCCTTTTGATGCATGAGGGTGCCGAGCATGACCATGCCTAAACTTCAAGGTCTCCCAGTATTAGGCCAGACATTCAAACTCTGAACATAAAAGACCCAGTAAAACTGTGCTGCAACCCTGTAAACTGGGTCCCCGAACTTGTGTCATTGTAAGGCTGCTGAGCAATTATTCCTTGGTTGGTCTAGACTGACACGAAGAAGTAAAGTAAGCTAAATTTACACTGTACACAACTGACTCTCAATCCCCAAAGATAAGGAGTCGGTCACTTCTAAGCCATCTCCTCCGCCTCCCCAAACCCCACCAAGGGAACTTTCACCCTCAGGGGCTGCTCAACAACTGCCAACACCTTTATATACCAATTAGCAACACCAAAAGGCACATTTTCAGGCAGTTTTACTTTTATCCCCACTAACTTACTAGCTGGCTTTTTGGTTCGGAGATGGGAGAAAGGAAAGAGAAGCACTCATGTGGTGAATATCCTCCAAAATCCAACACTTGCCAAAGTCACACAGAGAATACCCGAAACCAGACAAATGATACCTGACAGTTCATGATCTCCATGGCTATATAAAGTTAACATACACACGTATTCATTTATTCCTAAAAGTTTAACGACTACAGATATTTCAGTATTTGCTACTAGATTCAAGGAGCAGACATAAAATATGTAGACAACAGCCATCGTTTCAAAACTGATACATGGAAAGATGCTATATTTCTTATTAGAATTCTTATAAAGAATAACATCAAGAAACCTTTGCAAGTATTGTGTAATTGAATATCAATAACGAACTAAGGGCAAGGCAGTAAAAAGAGGCCAAGATTAAGAAATACTCAGAGTAGCTGAATTGAGTCATCTGGCCACTAAGAATTCATTTACTCAGTAAATATTAACTGAACATTTATTATGTGACAGATGCTATCCTGAGCACTAAAAGAAAGCCACACTAACCCTAGTTT